TATCACAGGGGCTCTACTGCATTATATATCACAGGGGTTCTACTGCATTATATATCACAGGGGTTCTACTGCATTATATATCACAGGGGCTCTACTGCATTATATATCACAGGGGTTCTACTGCATTATATATCACAGGGGTTATACTGCATTATATATCACAGGGCTCTACTCATTATAATCACAGGGTTATAGATTATATACACAGTAACGCATAAATTAAGGTTACCTTGTAAATTGCTCGGGTGAACTATGATTAATAAACAGTTTGACTATTATTGTGTGTTCTAGTGCATTAACGTGGTTTGGAGAAGAACAGGTGTTGCTATCCTCTGTGTATTGTAAAGTGTTCCAATAAGCAAGCTCCTACTCTTGAATCTACATTCCTCTCGGAATGATCCTGTATGTGTCATAAAAAGGGTAATGCACTGCTGCTGATCAACACACTGAAGAATGACCGGGTAGAACACGGGATCCAATAAAATCAGCTACCTGCATCATATCCACAGGGGTCTACAGCATCATATATCACGGGGATCTACGCATCATATATACGGGGTTCTACGCATATCTCACAAGGGTTCTATGGCATTATATCACAGGGGTTCTACTGCATATATATACGGGGTTCTACTGCATCATATATCACAGGGGTTCTACTGCATCATATATCACAGGGGCTCTACTGCATATATATTCACAGGGGTTTCTACGGCATCTATACTCACAGGGTTCTACGGCATCATATCTCACGGGGTTTACGGCATCATATATCACAGGGGTTCTACGGCATCATATCTCACTGGGGTTCTACGGCATCATATCTCACTGGGGTTCTACGGCATCATATCTCACTGGGGTTCTACGGCATCATATCTCACTGGGGTTCTACGGCATCATATCTCACAGGGGTTCTACGGCATCATATCACAGGGGTCCTACAGCAACATATATCACAGGGGTTCTACGGCATCATATCACAGGGGTTTACGCATTCATATCACAGGGGTTCTACGGCATCATATCACAGGGTTCTACTATCGGCATCATATCACAGGGGTTCTACTGCATTAAATATCACAGGGGTTCTACTGCATTATATATCACAGGGCTTATACTGCATTATATATCACAGGGGTTCTACTGCATTATATATCACAGGGGTTCTACTGCATTATATATCACAGGGGCTCTACTGCATTATATATCACAGGGGTTCTACTGCATTATATATCACAGGGGTTCTACTGCATAATATATTACAGGGGTTCTTAACAACTGGGCAGCAGCTGTGTTAAATACACACTGTAGCTTCAGTAACAAAGAGACCAGACTGAATAGAAGGAGAAAGGCAAACACACACCCACACACAGGACACACACCCACACACAGGACACACACAGGACACACACCCACAGACAGGACACACACCCACAGACAGGACACACACCCACACACAGGACACACACCCACACACAGGACACACACAGGACACACACCCACAGACAGGACACACACCCACACAGGACACACACCCACACAGTTGTATGGGTTGAGGGCTTACTATGAGGTCTGTGAGGTAGTCTTTTTCATAATTGTCTCCATGCTTCTCCTCTTTACCGTTGACTGACAGAGTGTAGTTGTAGTACTGAGAGTTCCCCATCTGCAACGTCACACACACACACAAAAGCATCAACACAGCTGTGACATCATCATCATGCACCAATATATCACGTGTGTCTGTACAGGACTTACCAGTGCATGCCATTGGTCCCAGCCTGGGGGAACATAGCCAACATTCCCTGTTTCCTTCTTCCCGTACTGAGGAGAGAGAGGAACACGTGACATAGTGCTACAGACAGACACATGTGAAGCAGGGTTGGGGTCAATTCCATTTCAATTCCAGTAAATTCAGAAAGTCCAAATGTTCCTAACTGAATGGAATTGACCCCAACTCCGATGTGAAGTACAAACAGACTAGACACACAATAGACAGATCTGGGAACAGACAGACAGACTAACTTGATGACACTACAGATGGATCTGGGGAAGTAACTGCATGAAGCCAAAAAGAGACTGATTTGACCACAAGAATTTGCACATATTTACTACTTTTTCTATAATAAAGAGCTGTTAATACAGTTTGGAAGTTGAGGTGATTCATAGATCTGATAATCTTCGCAGAAGTTAGCCTAACTCAGGTTGAGCATGGTGAACAACCAGATTATTATGACATGACACATCAGTATGTCCAGGAGAAAAGAGGAAGAAGCATTGGTAGACTTATGCACAGATTATATGACCACATCAATTAACAGCTAGGGAAGCATGACATGATGACATGCACAGTCACATTGCATGTCAGCAGTGTACTGTGTGTGTGTGTGTGTGTGTGTGAGATGGAGCGAAAAAAATCTGAACAGTTACATATCGCAATATTATATCGATACTTTGACTCCAATTATCGATTTGTACTAATATATATATATATATATATATATATATATATATATATAGTCCTCTGTAGCTCAATTGGTAGAGCATGGCGCTTGTAACGCCAGGGTAGTGGGTTCGATCCCTGGGACCACCCATACGTAAAAATTTATGCACACATGACTGTAAGTTACTTTGGATAAAAGCATCTGCTAAATGGCATATTATTTTTGTATTATATATCTATATATATATATATATACATACACACACACACACTTATTTTTGCTAGGAAGCGTTAGCTAGCGCTTGTCGGCTGTACCTGCGCCAAAACTTTTTCATCTATATCTTGTTCTCAATCTTCTTTTTAAATAGTGAGCCAACAGGTTTTCAGCACTTTTATTTCCATGACTGAACAAAACTCATTTTCTCATGCCTTCTCGTTTCTCTGCAGCAGACATAAGAGTAATATGTTTGGCACATCAAATCGCAGTATCCAATCGCAATACATACAGAATCGTGAAAACGGCAATACATATCGTATCGGCACCTAAGTATCATGATAATATTGTATCGTGAGGTCCCTGGCAATTCCCAGCCCTAGTGTGTGTGTTACCTGGTTGAGATACTTCCCGGCGTAGAAGGTCTGGTACTGCTGTTTGCTGAGATAGACCGGGAAGGCCGTGGTCTCTGGTCCTTTCTGCCACAGGGGGCTGGAGCAGTTCCCATCCAGGGAGTTGTTCCTCACTGCGTGGTTATGGGGGTACTGCCCCGTTAGGATACTACTCCTACTGGGACAACACAGCGGGGTCGCCGTGAACTGGAGAGAGAGAGGGAGGGAAAAAGAAGTAGAGGGGAGAGATTAGGGACATCTCAAAACCTCAGTGAAACTCCAGCAATTGGGACCTCAGTGTAATGGCTTAGGTGTTCGACTGACTGACAGTTGCAGGTTCGAGGACCATGTTGTTGATGTGAAGCTGTTCGGTACTCACAGCATTTGAAAAGGTGGCTCCAGCATCTCCAATCAAGACTTTGGTTTTCTTCATAGGGGTCTGTGGATCCGAGAAGCACAAAATGAAGAAGTGGTTTATTTTATCTCAACATGAAACCTTACATACAAACACTTTTGTTTAATCTGAAACGATACTAGGAAGAAGAAAAAATATTAGACATCCTGTTTGGGTCCAGGTTGATATGAAATGATGAAACATTCCGTGGCTCATTTCTCATACTTTTAATAGACTACAGGACACAAGAAGCATGTAACATGATGATCATAAGATAGAAAAGATAAGGACAGTCCTAAAGCCTATATATTGACCATGGTTTTGACTTTGTGCAATGTCACTGCTACAACGTTGGCTACTGTTTGTAGTATAATGTGATTGGCCTCTGCCTCAACGTATAGGCCTTTAGCCACGTAATGTACGTATGGAAAGTAGGATATGAGAATGGCAGTGAGTGGGTCAAGCAAGTTTTCCTCAGTTCAAAACACCGTCAGCCCACCATAACAACAACTATAGGCCTGGCTATAGCAGGGGACCACCACAATTATATTAGCCTACACGTTATACAGTTTTAATATACATTAATACGTTTGATTTACGCACAAAACGTACTCGATTTAGTTCTTAAACAAACCCAGCCAAACTAGAATTACTCACCATTCCCCCGAGGTACACATCCTGATCATCGGCTAAAATCAGGACGATATTGCTCGGTTTTTTGCATTCCGAACACCTGAGCGTGCAGGTAAACAGCGCGAGAAACAATGCTGCGCGCACACCCCCATTCGGTGTTCGTTGTCGCTTCTTTTGTCCAGTTCTTGCCTCCGAACTTGCCATGAGTTCGCTGGCTACCGCTCCACTGTTATAGTTCGGTGGTTTCGTTTCCTGCAATAGGCGAAATAATGTACATACGAAAACACCTATGGACAGGGGACGGGGACGGACAGAATGCAAGTCACACTGCTCCTGAGCACAAGGGAAGGGACGTCTGAGAAAGTTTGAGGAAGTAACCAGCTAATGATCATATGATCACCTTTTTTTCACTCGATTGAGGAGGACTTTAAGTCGCTGGTGGTGTGGTGTTTTAGATGAATACCAAGGAAATGTGTCAGCTTGCTTGAAATTCCACAAAAGTGTTCTTATAACGATTCACAAATTGCAAACATCATTGTAAAGGAGTCTAGCGCGGAGTGTTTAAGTTGATGGTTAGTCTTAAAACAGCTGTAACAGTTTGGTCAACATTTCTGTATACTATTTTTGCTCTATTTCAAATAAAAATTAAAGTGTATTGGTTTCTAGCTAGACATTTGCCATGCTGGTCATTAAATGTGTTTATCCTAATAGAGAACGGATTAATTGAAAGTACAAAGATAAAACCACGAGCACTCATATGTTAGCCACATGGGCGCGTGGTAGGAAGGGCACTTCCTGTTTCCCCGTCGGAACTATTTTTAGTGTTGCACGGCTGCAGAAGGCGGTTCTCCAAACTTGAATTGATGAGAAGACATGTACGTCATCGTGGTAGCAAGACAGCAGCTCACTAGTCACTATCCGTTCAGTAGGTGGCGGCAATACACCAATAGGCCGTAGTCTGCCATTACACCTTAAAGAAGAAGCAGAGGCACACTCGTGATAATTATGAATGTTTGTTCGTGTATCTATTATCGTTTTATAGACAGATGAGCGAGCCTGCCGACAAATATGGTTCCTATAAAGCGCAGGAAAGTGAACTGCTTTGTTACAAGCGACAGCAGCGGTGACAGGACCAGCAAGTTTCCCGGGGTTATCATCTTCCTCCTGGAGAGAAAGATGGGAGCCAGTCGGAGAGCCTTCCTCACTCGGCTCGGCCGGGGGAAAGGTTTCAACATAGAAGACTCCTTCAGGTAGTGTGAACAACAATCTTCTGGGGTGAAAATAATGTAGGCTAATAACTTCACCTTGTCTCCAGTACTGTCCCTGCTGATCTAAGATAGCTAGACTAGAAAGATTGAGTAGGTCTCAATTGAGACTTAAGTTCCTATAAATCAGTGGTCTTGAATGAAAGGGAACAAGGGTGCTTAGGGACACTTTAGGGATGTTTGCCAATGTAAATCAATTCTTGGTAACCTCTTTTTCCCTAGCTGTTCCATCACTCATATAGTGTCCGAGAATAATTCTGGGGAGGAGGTCCGGACATGGCTGGACTCCCACACTGGAGGACAGTGGAGAGAAGGAGGAGAATGTAGGACAGCCCGACCTGGTTCTGTCCATCTCCTGGACATGGTGTGGTACACAGCGAGCATGCAGGCTGGCAGCCCCGTGATTATACTGGACAGACACCGACTACAGGTGCGATATAGCCAGGCCACCTACATACTACCAGTGCCTGCACTTTGACTGATGTCATCTTCCTCGCATAGTGGAGAATGAAATGGGTTGTGTTCATTGCAACAAAAAGCGAAAATTAGCATTTTTGTGTTTGGCAAGTCCAGTTTTCTTCCGCCCTGTAAAACAACGCATTTCACTGCACCAGTCCAGTCTGTGACAATTTTAAAAAATAAAATAATTGGGGGGGTGCCTAACCTTGTTCCACAGGAGAGAGAGAAGCCCGGTTTGGAGCTGGCAGTGGTCTCAGTACCCAGCTACGCCTGTCAGAGACACACCCCTCTACTGCACCACAACACAACACTGACCGTGAGTCCCCTCCTTCCCACAATCCACTCTTTACTTACGAGGTGTTGATGTTCTGAATGACGTCTATGGCAACTTTGTTCCATCCCAAACACTAACTTGTTGTCAAAAGCATATTGTCTTTAGTGAACGAGCTGTCTATATACCCCTCTCCCCTCCTACCCTCCCTTCTCTCTCGCTCTCTCGCTGTCATTTTCTGTCTGTCTCTCTCTCATTTTCTGTCTCTCTCTTTTTCCCTCCCCCTGTAGGATGCGTTGTCCATACTGGCTGAGAATGCAGAGCTCAGTGAAAACGAGGGACGGGGAGTGGCGTTCCGTAGGGCGGCAGCCTTGTTGAAGTCCCTCCCCCAGGAGGTCAGAGGGGCGGAGCAACTACGAGGACTGCCCTGTCTGGGGGAGCACTCACTCAGAGTCATCAAGGTCTGGATACAGACATATCTCTCTATTTTCACTTCTCTATGTTTCTCACCACTCGCTCTTTCTGTCTGTCTGTGTGTATTTCTCTCTCTCTCTGGTCTCATATCAGAACCTCTCAATACCTCCTCCTCCCTCTGTTTATCTTTAGGAGGTTCTGGAGGATGGTGTATCTCATGAAGTGGAGACCACCACGCATTCAGAACAGTTTAAGGCCATGAAGGTGAGTTAGGGCGCGCTGAGACCTCCATCTCTGGTTATGGTCCTTGAATCTCTGTCCTTTGTTTCCACTTATTGGAGAGACGTGTGTGTTTTTCAGGCCTTAACAGGTATTTTCGGGGTGGGGGCGAAGACAGCGGACCGTTGGTTCAGGGAGGGAATACACACCCCCTCCGACCTGCAAAGATCAGGACACACACTCAACAGAGCGCAACAAGCAGGTGTGTGTGTGTGTGTGCACATGTCAAGTGCCTCTCTGAGCATTGGTAGTAAGCCCAAAGTGCCCTCTGCACAATAGTTTTCTACAGTCAGTACAAAGGTCACTCAATCCTCTTTTCTCTTCATCTTTCTCTCTCCTTCTCAGGTCTGCAGTATTATGATGAACTGAACCTACCTGTCACGAAAGCAGAGGCTGTTGCCATTGGTCAGATTGTGGAGAGGGCGGTCCATGCTGTGCTCCCGGGGGCAGAGATCACTCTGATTGGAGGATTCAGGAGGTACGCTGAGCAGTTTTCACTGTCTCCTTTTCTCTTGCTCTTCCTTCCCCTCTATTTCTCTCCTCCGTTGATCTCTTTCCTCTTTCTCTCTCTTTCTCTAGAGTAGGGATGTGAACGTTTAAATGAAATTCGGATCCTTTCCCCCCACAAAATTAAAATCACATTGCAGCTGGCTCTCCTGTTCTTTCTCTTCACTAATGATGCCAGTGTATTCTGTCTTCAATCTGTTGCTAGTAGAATATCCTAGCATATTCATTGATGATAGGCCCTGCTTTACTGATGTTGCGAGACATTGCAAGCTAAGAAATTGCGAGATTCAGCTTTTTATTGCGGATAGATAGGCCTACTGCACGGTTCTGACTCCATCTGCCTCGTGGCCGACCTGCCTGTACTGAGCCCCTCCCTCTCTCTCCGTCCCTCGCTAGCTCACTATGACAGATGCAAGTGTTTGTGTTCTCAGAAGTACGGCAACTTACCAGTCTCCTCCGTTTCCATTAAATACTGAATCTTAGGAGTCGATACCTAGCGGAATATGTTTTCTTTCTGCTAAATGTCTTGGTAAGTCACAGTATTTAAAACAAATGTATGCCCTTTTTTTAGGAGAGAGAGGTCTGTGCGCAGGCCACTCAAGATAATTTTATTGACAGTTATGGTCGTATAGGGATGGACGTTAGTCCTACTTCATAAGTGGCATTTCTTTACAGACAAGTAAAATGCCCGTTCAATGGTGCTTCGAAATGATCCCCAGAGAAGGTTTCGTTTCATCATTTAAAAAGCCGTAGTGTACCCTTACAGACAAACAAACATGCTGTAGCCGAGGCGCTATTCAAGGGTAGGGTATATGACTGTGGTAGATATAACTGGCCCTAACGGTCATACATTATTCTGCATTGTGAATTGACGTGTAATTGTACGATTTTTTTTTTCTTGCTGTTTTTAAACGTAAAGCAAAATTGTTAATTTGTCACATCCCTACTGTAGAGGTAAGCAGACGGGTCATGATGTGGACTTCCTGATAACCCACCCAGATGAGGGCAGAGAGGAGGGGCTCATGCCTAAGGTGGTGTCCTGGCTGGAAGCACAGGTGACACACAGCATTTTTTTCTGTTTTCTATCCTTCAGTAGTGATTGTTTGTCAACGAACAACTTTACACTATCTATTACAATTCCCAGAAAGCCTTTCCCCATTTCCTTCTATCAACTAAATATGGAATGTATGCTCAGCTGTTTACTGTACAAAACACCATCAGGCCTGGTCAGTTCAGCAAGCCATCCTGAGTAAGGATATTTCTGTACCCCCAGGGGTGTAACACTCTATTCTGTCCCCAGGGCTTCCTGTTGTACCAGAAGACCACTGGGAACTCTTATCTGGAGAGCAAAGAGGGTCCTGCGCGGCCGGCCTCTAACATGGATCGCTTTGAAAGATGCTTCTCCATCTTTAGACTGAGCACAGACAACGAAGGGACTGAGATCCAGACTGGGACTGAGATCCAGACGGGGACTGAGATCCAGACGGGGACTGAGATCCAGACGGGGACTGAGATCCAGACGGGGAATGGTCCACAGACATACTCACCGACACTGACCAATACAGATCCACACACCCACTCAGAGACTCACCCACACACACATACAGACTCACACCCACCTCCCCAGACCCTTGTGGTGGTGGGTGACCATGCCCAGAAGGTGAGCTGGGTGCTGGGTCATTCTCAGTGCTCAGGTCCCCGATCCTGGAGGGCAGTGAGAGTAGACCTGGTGGTCTCTCCATACAGCCAGTTTGCCTTCGCATTGCTGGGCTGGACTGGATCGAAGGTACGGCCTAAACCTAACCCCCGACCTCTAACTTCTGATCCTGATATAAGGCTTCCAGATGCACCTCACCACCCATCAGCCTTCCATGTGAATCTTCAGCCTTTTCTCATTTGGAAAAAAGTCCGTCCTCTGTCTTCTCTCCTCCGGAAACCGATAAGTGGTCAAGGAGAGTATACATTTTTTAGTAGGCGCACGGAAGAGTGTCCTCCCCTCCTTGATAGCCACCTTTCATCGAGGATAGTCATGTGTATCCTACCTTAGTCCTTCGCAGAAGAGTTTTGATATCTTTCACACCCCCTTTGAAGTAGTTGTTTTCTCAAAGGAGAAAAGCGCGCAAACATTTAATAACGATATGCTACTTATCAATGAAATGTGTTGCACAACTAGCTAAATTTGTTTGATCACTTTACACATTTATTTTGGGATTCAACCCCTGTAAATGTAATTTGCCTGATGACGTGCGAGCGGAGCACAGTTTTCAACCACGTTCCTTCTCGCTGCCTCTCCTCGATTAATTTTTTGACCTGTTTAAAAGGGAGGCGAGAGAGGACACAGGAGTTGAGCATATCCAATTGAGAAAAAGCCTTAGTCTAAAAGAGTCTAAAATGGCCTTCACCAATCATCTGTCTGTACTGACCTAATGAAATGAAATGAGTGACTGTGTGGGGGGAGGGGGTCTATAGGGTGATTTTGGTTTTGCTTTGTCCCAGTACCTTTACCCTACCTTCTGTTTCTCCCTCCTTTATTCACTCTCTCTCTTTCGCTCTCTCTCTCTCTCTCTGCGCAGTTGTTTGAGAGAGAACTGCGTCGCTGGGCAGTACATGAGAAGGCCATGACTCTGAGCAGCCATGCTCTGTACGACAGAAAACGGGTACACACACCCTCTCATACACACACACACACACACATTTTAAATACTTTATTAGAATCCACAAATCACATCACAGTCAAGAAGGATTCAAACATTTCAAAGGTCACAGATACTTGGACACTAATAGATACACACAGACACACACACACACACTCTCAAAAGTCATACACATGCACACACTGCTCACTTAGCAGGTAAGCATGCGGTACTCCGAAGGGCTGGCACCTGCACAAAGACATGATGCTGACGATCAGCTACAGTGATCTGAGGGTTAAACTGTGGTCTTATCTGTTTCCTACCTCTATCTCTCTCTTATTCTCTCCCTCTTTTTGTCTCTCTCTTTCTCTCTGTTATCTCTCTCTCTCTCTCTCTGTTTGTTATATCTCTCTCTCTCTGTCTCTCTCTCTCTCTGTTTGTGTTCTCTGTCTCGCTCTCTCTGTGTTATCTCTCTCTCTGTTTGTGTTATCTGTCTCTCTCTCTCTGTGTTCTCTCTCTTTCTGTCTGATCAGACGCAGTATCTAAGGGCTAGTTCAGAGGAGGAGATCTTTACTCATCTGGGTCTGGAATACATCCCTCCCTGTGACCGGAACGCCTGATGACAACATACTGGACTGATAACGCATACAGATACAGTCTAAGAGCTAAGCTAAGCAAACCCAAGCTAACCTGACTTAACTTAAACCTAAACATAAGCCAAATCAAACTAGGCCTAATCCTGAGCACAACACACAGGCCAGATACAGCCCAGGGTAGACTAGAAGGGGGGGGGGGGTGAGAGAGCGGTGGATAGATCGTTACATAGCTGTATTTTATTAAATTGAAAATCATAGAGAACATCCGGACCCAGGATGTTGTAAAGTACCAAATCTATAGATGTGTTTTATTTAGTTAACTTAAATCATTTTTATTTAGTTAACTCTTATTAATTGTACAGTATGTGCTTTTTTTCATATCTGACATATTAAAGCATTTTCCTTCATTGGTGCCTTTATTTAATCATTTTTAATATTTACTGCAATATATCAGCTTGTTTGCACAATTGAGAAAGCAGTTAAACTATGTGAATAAAAATTATATCAATTTTAGATTTTAGATATAATGTAGGCCTAAAACTGTAAGTGTGTGCATTCTGAGGGAAAGTGCTTTCTATATGCATACCCTCATGCAGTGTGTGTGTGGTTCCGTTCCATTTTGCATGATGACAGCAGTGGCCTACTTACACAGCAGGTGTACACTACACACACCACCATCCAACTCACGCTCTCTCCCTATTACCGCTCATGACATGTCTGAGCATATAGTTTGTACATTGATATATGTATATTTAGTGTACCATTTTATATATAATCAATTTATGCATTGTGTTGTTTTTGCGCACTCTTTTTTTATAAATCTTTATATACGACCAGAGGGGGGCGTAAAAGTTGATTAGGGACCAGTAATATTTACATTTATGTCATTTAGCAGACGCTCTTATCCAGAGCTACTTACAAATTGGTGCATTCAACTTATGATAGCCAGTGGGACAACCACTTTAATTTTTTATGGGGGGGGTGGGGGGGGGGTAGAAGGATTACTTTTATACTATTCCAGGTATTCCTTAAAGAGGTAGGGATTCAAGCGTCTCCGGAAGGTGGTCAGTGACTCCGCTGTCGTGGGGGAGCTTGTTCCACCATTGGGGTGCCAGAGCAGCGAATAGCTTTGACTGGGCTGAGCGGGAACTGTGCTTCCGTAGAGGTAGGGGGGCTAGTAGGCCAGAGGTGGATGAACGTAGTGCCCTCGTTTGGGTGTAGGGTCTGATCCTGAAGGTAAGGAGGAGCCGTTCCCCTCACAGCTCCGTAGGCAAGCACCATGGTCTTGTAGTAGATGCGAGACTCAACTGGAAGCCAGTGGAGTGTGCGGAGGAGTGGGGTGACATGAGAGAACTTGGGTAGGTTGAACACCAGACGGGCTGCAGCGTTCTGGATAAGTTGTAGGGGTTTAATGGCACAGGCAGGGAGCCCAGCCAGCAGCGAGTTGCAGTAATCCAGACGGGAGATGACAAGTGCCTGGATTAGGACCTGTGCCGCTTTCTGTGTAAGGTAGGGTCGTACTCTGCGAATGTTGTAGAGCATGAACCTGCAGGATCGGGTCACCGCTTTGATGTTAGCGGAGAACGACAGGGTGTTGTCCAGGGTCACGCCAAGGTTCTTTGCACTCTGGGAGGAGGACACAATGGAGTTGTCAGCCAAGGTTCAGCTTGAGGTGGTGATCCGACATCCACACTGATATGTCTGCCAGACATGCAGAGATGCGATTCGCCACCTGGTTATCAGAAGGGGAAAAGGAGAAAATTAATTGTGTGTTGTCTGCGTAGCAATGATAGGAGAGAGGATATGACAGAGCCAAGTTACTTGGTGTATAGAGAGAATAGGAGAGGGCCTAGAACTGAGCCCTGGGGGACACCTGTGGTGAGAGCCCGTGGTGCAGAGACAGATTCTCGCCACGCCACCTGGTAGGAGCGACCTGTCAGGTAGGACGCAATCCAAGAGTGAGCAGCGCCGGAGATGCCCAACTCGGAGAGGGTGGAGAGGAGGATCTGATGGTTCACAGTATCAAAGGCAGCAGATAGGTCTAGAAGGATAAGAGCAGAGGAGCGAGAGTTAGCTTTAGCAGTGCGGAGAGCCTCCGTGACACAGAGAAGAGCAGTCTCAGTTGAATGACCAGTCTTGAAACCTGACTGGTTTGGATCAAGAAGGTCATTCTGAGAGAGATAGCAGGAGAGTTGGCTAGAGACGGCACGCTCAAGAGTTTTGGAGAGAAAAGAAAGAAGGGATACTGGTCTGTAGTTGTTGACATCTGGTTTTTTGAGGAGGGGTGCAACTCTCGCTCTCTTTAAGACGGAAGGGACATGGCCAGCGGTCAAGGATGAGTTGATGAGCGAGGTGAGGTAAGGTCTCCGGAAATGGTCTGGAGAAGAGAGGAGGGGATAGGGTCAAGCGGGCAGGTTGTTGGGCGGCCGGCCGTCACAAGTCGCAAGATTTCATCTGGAGAGAGAGGGGAGAAAGAAGTCAAAGCATAGGGTAGGGCAGGACCAGCGGTGTCATTTGACTTAATAAATGGGGGGATACTGAGTTTTTCCACACAAAAGGGCTTTATTACAGACAGAAATACTCCCCCCCCCCCCCCCCCTGACAATCCCGCAGGTGAAGAAGCTGGATGTGAAGGGCTGCGTTACGTGTGGTTGTCAGGCTGGTTGGATGTATTGACAAATTCTCTAAAATGACATTGGAGGCAGCTTATGGTAGAGAAATAATCATTCAATTATCTGGCAACAGCTCTGGTGTACATTCATGCAGTCAGCATTCCAATTGCATGACCCCTCAAAACTTGTGGCATTGTGTTGTGTGACAAAACGGCACATTTTAGAGTGGCCTTTCATTGTCCCCAGCAAAAGGTGCACCTGCGTAATGATCATGCTGTTTAATCAGCTTCTTGATATGCCACACCTGTCAGGTGGATGGATTATCTTGGCAAAGAAGAATTGCTCACTAACGGATGCAAACAAATTTGTGCACAAAATTTGCGTATGGAAAATTTCAGAGATCTTTTATTTCAGCTCATGAAACATGGGACCAACACTTTACATGTTGCATTCATATTTGTGTAACTATATAACTAGGTATAAAGTGACGGTAAACAGTAGTAGCAGCGTATGTGATGAGTAAAATAATGGCTTTAAAGCAGACAGTCTGGGTAGCTATTTAGCAGTCCTATGGCTTGGCGGTAGAAGCTGTTCAAGGTCCTGTTGGTTCCAGGCTTGGTGCATAGATACCGCTTGCCGTGCGGTAGCAGAGTAAACAGTCTATGACTTGGGTGGCTGGAGTCTTTGACCAGTTTTAGGGCCTTCCTCTGACACCGCCTGGTATAGAGGTCCTGGATGGCAGGGAGCTCAGCCCCAGTGATGTACCATGACTAATATACTCATGGTATGAAATGAAAGCCACTCATTTTTACATTTATTTAGCAGACGCTCTTATCCAGAGCAACTTACAGTTAGTGAGTGCATACATTTTCATACTTTTTTCATACTGGCTCCCCGTGGGAATCGAACCCACAACCCTGGCATTGCAAGCGCCATGCTCTACCAACTGAGCTACACGGGGCTATAATAACACTCCTGTTTTTACCCCAGACAGTCAGCCAACCAACCAACCAACAATCAAGAATTGCCTAACATTTTGAATTTTGAGTTTGATTTGATTTAAATCAGCATTAGATACAATTACACTCTTCAGTCTTGAGAATATATATATTTTTTCATTAAATGTCTGCTTTCTCAGACTGCTGAACTACCAAAAATAAATATGACACAAATGCACCCAAGGTTCAAACTTGCTGTAGAAAATGATATACAAGTGAACTTTCAGTTATTTTGCTCAACATTTAAACACAGGGGTGTCATAACTAAAAGCTCCTCACTCTGCAACCCTGCCTTATATCTCACGTTCACACAATCCCCACCTCTTCCTACAGGGTTTTAAAGGTTTATTGGAAACAAACAGGGTCATTTCTCATATTGTGTGTGTGCCTCCGCAGGCGTTTCCAGCACCTCTTCCTAACAGTCTCAATAACCTCTAAATGCCGTTCAACTTCAAAAGGTATTCTCACAATTCCTCAGTTACACCCCTCACACACACACACCTCAGACCGCTCTGTCACACCAAACTCAACGGGACAGGATGAGCTTAGTGAAAGACCCCTAGGATAGAGTTCTCCTAAAGGCATTTCTGACAGTCAAACTAGTTATCATGAGTTCAAATAAAACATTTATTTAAACAGATAAGCATGTAAAGGGGCTTGTCAATCTCAGAATGTGTGTGCGTGCGTGTGTGTGTGTGTGAGAGAGAGGCGGAGCAGCAGTTTTCCTCCACGACGCCTGCTCCTCGTTGGCACGTCACCTGTTCCCACGCCAGTGACACCACACGTGTGAAACAAAAGTTACTCACTGACTGACTGGAAGGGAGGGAGGGACACACAGCAACAACACCTTCGTGTTCATCAGGGCATACTGAACACATCACTACTGGTGTGTGTGTTCATGCACTTGTGTATGTGTGTGTATGTAAGAGGGTGTGTGTGTCTCCCATGCCTCACCTCTATAGAGACTGAAAAGGAGACCCCCTGTCTGTGGGGCCAGACTGCAGGCCTGCCTACTGTAGGTAATAATAGTTTTGTTGGGGGGGGGGGGGGGGGTCATGACTAAAGGCTCATCCTCCTTTTGATCATAGGGGTCGCAGTGCCTGATTTTCCTCCAAGACCAGTTTATCAGGAGGCCCCAGGAGCCTTTGAAGGAGCTGATGGGGTTCTATAAGACAAGGAGAAGAGTTTTGACTGACTAGCTGACTGTTATACACCACACAGGGCGGGACACTAGAGGACAACAGGAGCCAAACAGGTTAATAATCATTACATCACAGACTAACTAACATGAACAAACAGGGCATGACTGGCAGATTTACTGATATAAAACTTCAATCAGAGGGTTTATATCAGCAGTGTTTAGGTGTCCTTCAACTGATTGGTCTGATGATACTGTGCATGTATTGAAATCAATTAAAAGGCACCACTGTGTGTGTGGTATTTGGACATGTGTTACAGTATTTTACCAGTCCCCCTTTCCATGCTGGGCTGATGTATCAATGCTGCCAGTTGGACTGCTTCCTGTCCTCTGTCTCTCCTAATCCCCCACTGGGCACAGATCTTGGATCAGCTTAAC